ATGAAACATCTGCAAGAAAACCACCAAGCTCAGAGAGCATCTAGGACACCACATTCCTCCTCCTTCTCCTCCTCCTCCTCCTCCTGCTCTTCCACAAAACCCACCCCCTTCTAGCACTGATGCTGTCATCTAGTTGGGTAATGAAACATCTGCAGGAAAACCACCAAACTCAGAGAACACCAAGAACCCCCACAGTTCAATCCTCAGTGAGCTCGACAAATAGTCTGTTTTAAAGAAGGGCAGCTGGAAATTTGGTGCGGGACGGTGGCCGACCATTTCTTTCAAGTCTTCTGCCTTTGGTCAAAGCCTCTCCTTTCCCGGCAGGCTCCTTCTAATTCGACCGAACTGCAGGACTACAGCACTGGCGTCCAGATGGGTTGCTGGGGCTTGGTCATCTATGCTGCTACTGCTGCTGTGTGTTCAGGTGAGAGGCTGTGTGCTCCTGTCCTGGGTTAAAGCTGGGTGAAGAGTGGCATAATTGGGAAGAGGGAGGCAGAATCTGGTTTCATTGTGAGCAGTACCAGAGCGAGGGATGTGCGATGGGAAGCTTTATCATTTGAATGAATGGAATGAATGAATGAAGATGCATGAAATGAATGAATATGTTTTACTGAAATCAAGATGTTGAGTTAGTTAGTTAGTTAATTAGTTAGTTAGTTAGTTAGTTTCTCAAGCATGTATGAGAAACCAAGTATAAGTATGAGCATAACATGTAAGCATATAATTATAAGCAGGTATAAGTAGATACATAATGCAGGAATAGGAATAAATAGGAACAGTCAAACAGGGACCGTAGGCACGCCGGTGCGCTTACACACGCCCCCCTCACAGGCCTCCTAGGAATGGAGCAAGGTCCACGGTAGACAGTTTGAGGTTATAAGTTTTGGGGGTTTGAGGATGTAACACCAGAGTCAGGGAGTGGGTTCCAGGCGTTGAGCACTCCGTTGCTGAAGTCGTACTTTCTGCAATCGAGTTTGGAGCGATTTACTTTGAGTTTGGATCTATTGTTTGCCCGTGTGTTATTGCGGTTGAAGCTGAAGTTGTTGTCGACAGGTAGGATGTTATAGCAGACAGTTTTGTGTACTAAGCTTAGGTCAGACCACAGGCAGCGTAGTTCTAAGTTGTCCAAACCTAAAATTTCAAGCCTGAATGTATAAGGTATTCTATTGCGAGCTGAGGAGTGGAGTAGTCTTCTCGTGCAATACCTCTGGACTCGTTCAATCGTATTAATGTCCATTATACAGTGTGGATTCCAGGCAGATGAGCTGTTTTCGAGAATTTCATATCATTATATAACAACATATTACATCACAACCTATCACGATGTTATCCATTCAGTCATATCCAACTCTTGGCAATTCCATCGGCCAGGTCTCTCCACATCTTCCTCCTCTACCCCTTTGAGTTGTTCTCTGCTCTGGCTGGTGTCAGCTTTGATGGTGAACTAGAACATGTTGAAGGATAACATCTCCATGTTGGAATGGGAAAGACAGTGAATCTCCCAGGGAAGACCTCAGTTAGTTTGGGACATTCAGCATGGAAAATATGCTCTCTCCCTCAGAGCTAAAGCTCCTTCCTTAACCATTTGCTTCCATATTGCTGCCCTCAAGTTGTTTTGGTTGAGAGTTGCACTAACTGTATATCTGGGCACAAGACTGAAAGATCTTGGCCCAAGGTATATCCCACAGACCACACACGGGTCCTATAAACCAGAGGTGTCCAAACTTGGCAACCTTAAGACTTGTGGACTTCTGCTTCCAGAGTTCCTCAGCCAGCCAGGAATTCTGAGAGTTGGAAGTCCACAAGTTTTGAAGCTGCCATGATCGGAGACTCCTGCTGTAAGCTTGGGCCTGAGGATTGCCCTCTCAGATGTCTCCAAGGAATAAAAGACACAATGAGCCAAGCATGTAATTCTTAAGTTAGTCAAGAGACTGTGAGATTCATCCACTTGGTTATTGCCTGATACTTGGTGTGGCAGGTCATGCTTTGTGGGGAAGAGGCTTTCTCCAATGGTTCTGAGGTTAACGCAACTCTTAAACCTGGAAGGATTATTTCTCCTCGCTCTAAACCAGAGGAATTTGGGGAGTTGAGGTCCACAGGTCTTAAGTTGCCAAAGTTGGGACGTCCTTTCTCTAAGCCAATGAGCAACTTTTTAAGATCCATGGGCTTCAACTCTCGGACTTTCCCAGCCAGCCAAGGTTGCTTGGAGAATTTATGCACGTCTCTCCTATCTTCTCAGTAGGCCTGGGTGGAAGAGGTTGAATGGGTGGGTTGTTGCCCTCCTCCGTAGAAGTTCAGAACGTTGTGTAACTGCGACTTGTGCCCATCGTTTTCCAGCTTTACTCCAGAAATACTTGGACAATTATGACTTGAGCATACGAGTGATCTACATCTTGGGCACCTTGGGGTTCTCCATCGGCACAGCGGTGATGGCCATTTTCCCCAACGTCTACGTCGCCATGATCATGATCAGCACCATGGGAATCGTTTCGATGAGCATCTCCTATTGCCCCTATGCACTCCTGGGACAGTACCACGACATCAAGGAGGTAGGTGGCCTTCTGGCTGGAATTCTGGGGGTTGAAGTTCACCAAGTCTTAAGGTCGCACCACCTTTGGGATCGGAGAACCCCAGTTAGATCAGGGATGAGAGTGTCTTGATTTGACTGAGAGGCTTCGCAGTCAAAGTAACGGAGCATCTCTTACCGTCAAAGGTTGGAGGGTGAACTGTGGACACTTCTTCATAAGAGTTATGGGTCCCTCAACTATCCAACCATACAGATGCACACAGATCATTGGGGAAGGAGACCTTCTCCCTTACCTTGGTATGAGATGGCGACAAAGACCTTCTGCAGAACTTCTCCTGTATCTGTCCTCTCTGGACTCACCCAACCAGCACAATCTGACATTGAATCCACCCATTTTTGGATTCCTATAATGTGCCACTAAATGTGCCACCCAACCTTATCAACCGTAAGACCTGTGGACTTCAACTCCCAGAATCCCCTAGCCAGCACAGACTGTGCTAAACGGTGTTGTTATTGTTGTTAGTTATGAAGTCGTGTCTGACCCATCGTGACCCCATGGACAACGTTCCTCCAGGCCTTCCTACCCTCTACCATCCCCTGGAGTCCATTTAAGCTCACACCGGCTGCTTCAGTGACTCCATCCAGCCCCCTCATTCTCTGTCGTCCCCTTCTTTTTTTGCCCTCAGTTGTTGCCAGCATTAGGCTCTTCTCCAGGGAGTCCTTCCTTCTCATGAGGTGGCCAAAGTCTTTGAGTTTTGTCTTCAGGATCTGGCCTTGTAAAGAGCAGCCAGGGCTGATCTCCTCTAGGACTGACCGGTTGGATGGCCTTGCAGTCCAAGGGACTCACAGGAGTCTTCTCCAGTACCAGAGTTGGAAGGCCGCCATTCTTTGGCGCTCAGCCTTCCTTACGGTCCAACTCTCACAGCCATACATTGCCACTGGGAAAACCAAGGCCTCTAAACAGCACAATCACCAAATCGCAAATGGGTCTCCTAGAGCAGTGATGGCTAACCTTTCCGTCCTCACATGCCAACAGTGCGCACATACACACACACATACGCATGCCAGTACCCATAAGGCAATGCATGCAGGGGCACCCACACCCCTGCACATGCATGCACGACCACCGCACCTGAGGAATACCTGTATTTTTTTAAAAAATGCTGGTGGCTCTTCGGAAGAAGCAATGGAGAAGTCAGGAACTACCTGTGCACCAACAGCAAT